TGGGGGGGGCGGGGGGAGGGGGTTGTTACCTGGAAGATGAAGCTGCTCCAGTTGCCGGGATCCATGGCGGAGGGAGGGAGGGAGGTGGCTCGCGCTCACCCTGGGGCGGGAGGAGGAGGAGGCGGCAGTGGGGGAGGGGGAACCCAGGGAGGAGGCGCGCGGGGCGGGCGGGAGGGGGGAAGGAGGAGGAGGGTGGGGGGAGCGGAGCACACTGCGCGCGGGGAGGGCGGGCGGGGGGCGCGAGGACACACAAGAGGCTGGAGCGGGCGCGAGCGCGAGCGCGCGCGAGGCCAGCGGGAGGGGGGAGGTACGAGAGGGACTCTGGCGGGAGGAGGGACGGGGGAGCCACCCAGCAGCCCGAATCGCCCCAAGCGCGAGACCCCTGAGACGGCCGCTGATTGGCTGACGATGGCGCAGGTGGTGGGCGCGCGGGAGACAGGGCGGCTTCTCTCTTACCCCCCCTTCAAAGATTCCACCCCCCTCCTCCCTCCGCCAGCGGCCGTTATTTCGCGCGCACGCGCATAAAACCGCTGCCGTTGCTGAGCGGGAGAGCAGGGGAGCGCGCGCCGGGGGTACGGATGGGGCGGGGCTAAACTCGAAGCGCGCGCCCGCCTAACGGTCGTCGTCCTCGGGCTTTCGCATTACTTTTTTGTTTCCTTTCGGCCACCGTCCTTCCCCCCTCCCCACACTCCAGCGGTTTATTTACAATCCTGCCCTGCTTCATTCCTCCCTGCTTTTCCCAAAGATGGCGCCGAAAGAAGTTATGCGGAGGAGCTTGTGGCCCATCCCAAGGGCAATTATACCCCCGGCCCCGCCCCCGCAGTCCCAAGAATCAGGCCGAAACACCGGAGTAAAAATTGTATTTACACGACACGCAGTTATATGAGGATTAAAAAAAAAAAAAAAAAAAAGTGAGGAAAGGAGCTGGCAGTCGGGAGGGGCCTCAGCGCTGGCTCGCGGCGAGACCCAGGATGTTCGCCTGCAACACAGGACGGAAGGGAAGAGCAGCATTAAAGCTGGGGGCAGGGCACAGGCCAGAGAGGAGGGGGCCAAGCGGTGGGCTCACCTTCAGGAATGACTCCATCTGTTTCCCGGATATGCCCTCCACGCGTTCCAGGTCCTCCACCTGGCGGGACGGCAACGATGGCAAGGGGCCTCGGGGGTGTCGCGCTTCTCCCCTCCCACCCCACCCCCCCAAATCCATTTCAGGGCCGCCCTCCCTGGGCCATTACCTGGCTAAAGGGGCCGTGGAGTTCCCTCCAGCCCACGATGAGCTGGGCCTTCTTTTGGCCAATGCGCTGCAGGCTGCGCAGATCCCGGGCAGAGCCTTCGTTCAGCAGATCTAGTATTTTTTGGCGCCCATGGGCCAGTAGCTCCGGGCTGATCTGTAGCTCCCAGCAGTCCTCAGCCTTCTCCTCTGGCTCTGAGGCATCCAGGGACTCCAGCTATGAGGCAGGGGGAGGTGAGTGACAGAAACAGAGTTTGCTATTCAGCCGGTGGCAGCAAACTGCTTTAGGCTCCTCTGCCAAGGATAGGAGCCTAACAGCAGCTACCTCCCCGCCCTCCCTAGCCTCTCTTTCCTCAAGTGTCTGTCCAAAATCCCTTCTCTCGAGTCACTCTCTGGGCTGATTCTCATTTTATCCTACTTGTGAAAGAGTGGTAGTAGTTGTTGTGAAGATCAAATGAATTAATGAAGTTAAATTTGCCTCATCTCTAAAAAGGAATGAATAAGCTCTCTTGCACTCCCAGGAAGGCACACAGAAGAATAAATCACAGCCACGCCCCCACCACATCGTCTCAGTTTTTAGGTAATTCTTCCAGTGTTGTTTCATTTCTTGAGTGTTTATTAGGTCATGTTTCCCAAAGTGGGCTCTTAAGTTTGTGGAGTGGGACTCAGGCTACACACTACGTAGTAGCTGCTGAGGGTGAGAGCCACGAGAAAGAAAAGGAAGTAACAGGTGATGGATACCCTCTCTGCTAGGTACATACTGCATTTCATCCTAAATTCCCTGTGAGGTATCTCCACATTCAGAGGGTAGGCAACTTGTAAATAGCTGGTGTTTTAACTCCATGGCTAGTGCTCTTCGCATCAGCGCTCACTACCCTTACTTCTCCGCTCCAGATGTGGCTCAAGCATCAGCTGCTCTCACCTTTCTCTTCCGGCCTCTCTTCTTCAGGATATGGATCTCAGCACTTGGGGACGCCACCTGCTCCTGAACTGAAGGCAACACTTGTGAACCGGAATCACGGCAGAGGCTACTTTTCACCCGCCCTCACTTGGTTCTATTTCTGATTCCCCAGTTCCCCTCCAGCCCAAGTGAACCTCTCTTCTTTTGTTGTTTCCATATGACCTTTCTTACACCTGTATTTGAAGGTAGTCTCAACCTGTTACTGCACGGTCATCAGTCCTGCCCCGCTCAGTCGGCCCCGACCGTACTAAGTGCCTGAGCACAGAGCACCCGAGCTCTATTTCAGACCGTCCTCACCACCCACCCCCCTCCCTGGGGTTGCAATATGGTGGGAGCACATGAGTGACATGATGAAAGCTGCTCTGAACACCTCCCACCTTTCCAGGACCTGTCATCTGGGCCCTCCTGGCCCCCACAGCTGAACTTACTCAGTTGTAGGGGCATCACCACAGCCTTTTTGAGGGGCTTTGCTATGGTGACTGTGCGGCAGGCAAGCGGTCGGAGCATTGTGGGAGACGAGTTCTCTTTATCCTTTGGGTCCACAGCCTCCTGTGCCAGAACCTTGGCTTCCAGTTCTTTTTGCTTCATCTTAAGCCTCTGTTGGAAAGGATCAGAGAGACACGTGACCCAGAACAAACTTTCGGGCAGCATGAAGGAGGTGGGTTAGGAAAGTGAGTGCAGGGCTCTGAGGCCCTACCTGGCAGGGTGAGGACCAAGGAGAGAAGCTACCGGGAGACAAATGGAGCATAATTAGGGGCCTTCTAATGATCAGGGCTGCTCAGAGGTGGAACAGGCCCTTTTGTGAAACGCTGAAGGAGAGGGACTATTCAGGCAGAAAGTCCTAGCTTAATTTGGGTTTTAGGAAATGACAAGGTCTTACATTTGTTCCTTTCACCTGGATTTCCACCCCCTCACTTCCTCAAAGCTGACCTCAATCATTTTTCAAAGTCCAGCCACCTTAAGGACATTTAAGCAGCACCCAGAGAACAGGGATTCCAGTGTTAGGTAAAAACTGGATGCTGGTCCAGCCTTCCCGTGCCTTTCCCTATCTGAAGATGCTCAGATTGCTTCTCAAGGCCAGTAGGAATCCCAGCCCCCACCTCCCCAACACTGACCTCAATCTCCAAATCCTTTTCCTCCATTGTTTTCATGAGCACCATCCGCTCTCGCCTCGGGGTGTTTAGCCCATGGGTCCCCTGGCTCCCCTGGGAGCCTAGCAGACGGTCCAAGCTTAGGAGGCGCTCCAGCACAGCGGGGTCCATGCTACTTAGCTTCTGTAGGGGACTGAGCAGACAGAGGTTACTCCGCACCGAGTCCTTCTCTCATCACCCTCTCCACAGCAGCAGGATTCCCCTCATGATGCCTTCAGTTGCTGTATTCTGTGGTTCCAGACTCTGGTGTTAACTTGTTGGGCAACCCTGAGCAAGTCAACCAGACTTTCCAGGTGCAGTGCTTCGTCAGGTGAATGCGGATCCATCACTACTTGCCCAGGTAACCTCTCAGGGATGCCAGGAGATCCGATGAGAACAAGCACTTCATGTGCACCTGAGTTCCAAGTGTTCATGCTCTAAGACACTGCCCTGCCCTGTAGGCAGTCATGGTCTGAATGGAAAGGCAGAGACTGTGAGAAGATGACAGCAAGGGTTGTGTGCTGGTTTCTTTGGAAGAGCAGATGGGGAAAGATTCACCGAGGTCATCTTCAGCAGGGCTTTGAAAGCCACTGAGGACCTCAAATGCCAAGCCTTCTTCCCACGGACAGTAGGAAAGGCCTCTTGGAGCTGAGTCCTGACTTAATTTGAGCATGACAATGCCTAACATTTGTTCCTTCTATCTGGAAAGTCAATTTGATACAACCTTTCCCATGAACCCCAACTTGACTGTATCTTCCTTCCTATACTGTGAACTAGCTCAAGGACAGTGACTGTTCTGTTCCTTGTGTGCAAGTGCCTAGGAAGAGCAGGATCATAAAACATGGGTGAACACTAGAGGTCAATCCTTCCTGGCTCTCACAGAAGCAGCAACTCCTTCCTTACCACACCCTGTCCTACCTACCCTGCATCATCTACTGATGTTCTTGTCTTCTTTCCCTTCCTGAAACCTGAGCCGCCTGAGGTCAGGATCTGACTAGGTCTGACATACCCCAACTCTGAGCTTACCCAGGGTGCCTGTCTGGCAGAGACTTTGCCTATTCACATGTAACACGCATGTGCGGGGTGTATGTTTCTCTGAGCTTATGCACATAGGAGAAGGGACCGCTGACAGCTTGAGAAGGACAAGACAGAGATGGGGTTCTAAGCAAACACCCTTTCCTGTATGTCATTCATTCTCAACTACAGCAGTGCCGTTCCCCCACCGCCCAGGGCAGAGTATGTACTAATCCTTGACCTCCTCGGGTCACCTCTGTTCACTGGTCTTCAGACTTACACAGTTTAGAGAGGCATTTTTTGGGTTTGGGTAGAAACCAGGCAAAAGTAAACCTGCAGCTGGCTCCCTAGACTTAGGGGGGGCCCGGTGGCCAGACACAGAAAGCAAGATCACTAAATAGCAGTGACCTAAGGATTCATGCATCCTGGGCCATGAGATGGGGTTATCAGAACCAGAGAGAGAGAGGCTGCACACACAAAAGGGACTTAGTTTAGAGACTTTGGATTGAGGTTAGAAGCAAAGTTAGGACAGCAACAGGCTCCTTATATAGTCATGGAGATGCTGGACTCTAATGCACAGACTGAGAGGTCTCAGGGAGACATAGCTCTTCGTCTCTTATCTCTCCTTTGCTTTTTATCCTCTAGACCTGAAAGACCTGATCCAGACTACTCCTTGAGCCAGAAGTTAAAGTGCTCATCCTTGGGCGCCTGGGCGGCTCAGTTGGTTAAGCGACTGCCTTCGGCTCAGGTCATGATCCTGGAGTCCCGGGATCGAGTCCCACATCAGGCTCCCTGCTCGGCGGGGAGCCTGCTTCTCCCTCTGACCCTCCCCCCTCTCATGTACTCTCTCTCTCTCATTCTCACTCTCTCAAATAAATAAATAAATCTAAAAAAAAAAAGTGCTCATCCTTGAAACAGCTGCCCCCAAATGCGAGGTTTTGCTGACTGCCTAAAAGTGTTGGAAAATGAAAAGGGAGGGGCGAGGTACTCGAGGAGGCGGCTTCCTTCCGGCCCTGGGCAGCAGCACCAGGGCTAGTGATTAAGCTTAGCACTTCCAGTGAATTCAGTAGAGTAGGATTTGGGGTGAATTCGATGAGAGAGGAACAAGTTTGCAGCTCAAAGATCTGACAGGCTAAACCCACTACTCTCTGTACCTAACCCAGACACGACAGCAAAGGGGACATCCTCCAAGCCCCTCCCCTTCTGCTCACCTGAGTTCCTGGGAGGCGGAGGCTGGAGCTGCTGGAGGCTCAGGACTCCCAATCCCCTCTTCTTCGGGGCTGCGGGCTCTCTTTGCCTCTGACGGGCCTAGCAGTTCTTTCTGGGACAGTTTAACGGGTGCCAAGACTAGGAAAGATGTGGGGGCGGGTCAGCCTCTGTGCTGATGCTAGGCAGCTTCAGCACTCTCTCCAGTTGTCCAGATCTGCCCTCTGCACTCTGGCCAACCCCAGTCCTCACCACGAAGCTGCAGACTCTCATTGGTAAAAGGCCGGTTGACCACCTCCTTGGACCTGGCAGCAAAGTTGAGCGCAGAGACCGTATCTAGGTAGAAGCGTCTCTCAGGAGCAATGTTGGCAATGAGGATGCTGTGGGCTGAGCCACCCAGAGAATCCTGAGGGATGGGGATTGGGCAGGATAGGCAGATCAGAAGCCCCACGTTTCCATTCCTTGACTGCAGTTCCCCAGCCTCCCGGCACACCGGAGCACCTCCTTTTCCAGCCCCTTTTCATCCTGAGATGGGTGGCCTGACCTGCAATAGGCGAGTGAGCTTGCTGTCCCGGTAAGGCACACGAGGGAGGCCCTGGTTCAGTGCATCCACCACCTTGCCCAGTACAAAGAGGGAGGAGTTGATGGCTCCGCTTTCCTTCAGCCGCAGACCCTTGTTACCCGTGCGCCGGTTGTCCTCGGAGCCAGCCAAGTCAATCAGGTAGAGTTTACCCTCCCGCTGGCGAAATGGGGCCAGACGTTCCCGCTGATCCACCTGGGGTTAAGAGCAAGGGCCCCCAAGCTTAGTTCAGGCTCGAGGGGCTTCCCAGCTCCTCCCCCCATCAGCAGGCCTCACCTTAACCAGGAGCACAGCATGACTGCGGGAGGAGCGCTGGTTGAGCCGGGTGGCTCCTACGGTCCGGTTTCTACTGGCTGGCAGGAAGTGCCGCTCAAAATCAGCAAAGCTAGTGATGGGCTTCTGTGTGAGGCCCGGAATCAGGATGTTTCCCCGACAGTCTTCTCGGATCACCAGGTCTCCTGATGCAGGGTCCAGGAGGTCTAATACCTGTTGGAGTAGGGAGAGGTAGGGCCAGTTCTCCAGACACAGGCTGCTTACTTCCTGGGCATCAGTCTCCTCTTCTGCTGGACTGTCAGAGACATACCATCTGCTCCCCCAACCTCTGTCTTTCCAGCTCTTGCCTCCTTGCTAGGGCAGAGCTTCACAGTCAAGAATTGGATCTTATTTTGTTTGACCTTTGTCTCTCCCCTTCCCAACCGGAGTAGGGCCTCACCTTTTCCTGGTAGATCTCTAAGTAGGACATAGTGACAGAGAGAGCCCATGGCCGGCCCTCCCCGCCCTCCTCCCTTGTGAGCTGTAGGAGGTCCATGAGAGCCCGGGGAATCACTCCAGGTTGCTCTGGGCTGCCCAGCATTGTGTGCGTCTTCCCTGGGGAAAGAGGGAAGATTGCTGTGAGATCTTCCTCCCCACTCTTGAGCCCTCTCGGACCCATAGCTGTTCCCTATCTGGCTCCCTCACCTGCCCCTGTGGGCCCATAAGCAAGCACACTGGCATTCTGTCCTTCCAGCAAGTGCCTTAGGATGGGCTGCACTGATCCTGCATAGATGTCCTGCTGAGAGCTCTTCTCCCCATAGAAGGCATCAAACCTGCAGGCAGGAAAAAAGGAATCAGTAGAGGGTTCTATCCTCCCCCAGATTTAGAGGGTAATAATACTGGCCTCGGATTTAAGAGTCTCTATCGCTTTTCTTGCATAAAGACCTCAGAAAGCATCCAGTGAACACCTGTTCTGCCCCAGTCCCCGTACTGGTGTTAGGAATACAGAGATAAGTCTGATACCCTGCTCTGGGCAGCTCTGTAGTCTGGTGGGACAGAAAGATACCTATACTTTTCTGTGATTCAGGAAAAGAAGTGGAGGATACACTAGAAAGAGTAACTGATTCTGCTTGAGGAAAGAGGATTTTGCCAGAGAAAAGAAAGATATTCTGAGTATCAAAAATAGCACGCAGGGCGCCTGGGTGGCTCAGTCGGTTAAGCGACTGCCTTCGGCTCAGGTCATGATCCTGGAGTCCCGGGATCGAGTCCCACATCAGGCTCCCTGCTCGGCAGGGAGTCTGCTTCTCCCTCTGACCCTCTTCCCTCTCGTGCTCTCTCTCTCTCATTCTCTCTCTCAAATAAATAAATAAAATCTTAAAAAAAAAAAATAGCACGCAGACAAGGCATGGTATGAAAGGGCAAGGCTTCCTGATCTTTTTCCCAACACAGTACACATGGAAAGTAGTATCTGTACACCAGAACAGAGCAGAGGATGCTGCCGATGACAAGATGAGACTCCACACACCTGCGGTCCGCTCTCCGCATTCCGGAGAAGCCGCGGCTGAGGCCACAGCAGAGATGAGTGTTTTAAGGGGATTGTGTTGGGGGAATGAGGCTGGAAAGAAACAAGTCAAACTGCCAAGGGCCTAGAATGAGGTTGTCAAAGGTTTTCCATAAAGTGCCAGAGAGTAAATATTTTAGGCCCGGTGAGCCATAGGATTCCTTTTGCAGCTATTCACCTCCATCATTACAGTCGGAAAGCAACCATAGACAGTATGTAAATGAACAATTGCTCCACTAGAGCTTTTAGTACAAAAAAGACTCCTGGCCAGATTTGACCTGCAGGCCGTAGTTTGCCACGCCCTAGCCTCGAAAGACAGGCCAAAGAGTCTGATCTCCGATGGGGGTTTAAAGTAGCTGCACCTGGGAGTTCTGTCCCCAAATCTGTATGGTCTTCTCTTACACCACCCAGCTGCAGCCTGGGTTGGCTGGCTGGTCTGTGTTCCTCCAACCCTTCCCACACCTCCCCTAACCCTAGCTGGGGCTTCCCTGCTCACCTTTGCTACTCCTTCCCCTTCCCATATTTGTACCTATTTCCCCTATGAGCCTGTGAACAGTACTGTGTTGGGTTCAGCCTTCAGCCTTCCCCCAAGTATCCTACAGACGACCTGTCACAGTGGACACCCAGGAAGGTTTCTGAAAGACCAAATGAAGGTGTGAGGAACAAAGCTGTGCTAAGGAAGGAGGAAGGATCCTGAAGAGGCACATCTGAGAAACCACGTGGGCAGTGCTAATGTGAGCAGGCCTAGGAGAGAGGAGAGGGGCAGGAGGGCAGAGTGGCCTGAACCTTACTGGTATTTGAGAGTCTCCTGGTGGTTCCTCCAGTTGGCAATCTCTAGAGAACAGCTGTCCAGGCCGCGCACACAAGGGGGATCACCTGCTCCATCTGTCCCATCCACAAATGGCCGCAGCCGCACAGCCACCCTGACTCGAGCTGGAGGCGGGCGCCGGCCAGCCCCCGCCTTGCTTAGCCGACAGCGACCAGCTCCTAGAGGAGAGAAGGTAAGTTTTTAGGCATGAAATACGGTGGTAGCACAGAGGTAACGGTAGGAGTCTTGCACAAAGAGCTACTTGATACAGCTGAGCTCTGAAGGATGAATAGCAGCTTGCCCGGAGGACGGTCGGAGATTGGAGGAGAGAGATTATATACAGGTCGGGGACTGCAAACCATATCATGTACTTAGCAAACATTAACGTTTATTAGGCACCGACTACATGTCAGGCATACTTTAATCTTCACGGTGTCCCTGAGGTAGATTCTATTCATGCCATTTTACCAATGAAGAAGCTCATGGACGTGCGGCAGCTCTTCTGAGCACCTCAGTATGTTATACCTGGGGCCTGTGCCCATTACATCTTGTTTCGTAGCCCACACTTTGTCCTTTTGCTCCTCAAAAGAATAAGCAGACCCTAAAAACAAAACAAAACCCCAGCATCTTAAGTAGATTAGAGACCCTCATAACCTTGACAAAGGCACAGGGAAGATGGATTGGAAGTGGAGGCTGAGGTCCAAGGGGACACCTTGGGAGGGCCAGAGGCCCCCAGCTCATTTCAGGGCAACTCCTTCCACCCTGGCTGTATTGTGGGTGTCCCCAAGCTTGGCCCCAGTTCCTTCCTTGCTCTACAAGTAGGTCCAGTGGGGTGAAGATTGTCAGGTTTACACAAATGACCTGGAAGATCTTGTTAAAATGCAGATTTCGGGATGCTCTGCGTGGCTCAGTTGATTAAACATCTGCCTTCCGCTCAGGTCATGATCTCAGGGTCCTGAGATCAAGTCCCACGTCGGGTTCCTTGCTCAACAGGGAGCCTGCCTCTCCCTCTGCCTGCCACTTTCTCTGCTTGTGCTCTCTCTCTCTCACACAAATAAAAAAAAATTTTTAAATTAAAAAAAAAAAAATGCAGATTTTGCTTCAGTCCCTGGAACAGTGCCTGAGCTTTTTTTTTTTAATATTCTGCATTTCTAACTAACTGCCAAATGATGTGGATGCTGCTGGTGGGACATGATTTGGATTGCAAAGGTATTGTAGACCAGCATCTTCCGGGGTTGTTGTAAGGATTAAAAGAGTTGACATTTGCCCCCACCCAAAACCAGTCCATGAACTGCCTGACTTTTCTGTGCTTCTATTTCTTACCTGAGGTTTACAACACATACTTACATGTT